TGGTCTCTGCCAACCAATTGCTTCTGTTTTTTAATTGCCTGAATAATAATTTTCTTTAACTGTTTGAATGTCATAGCAAATCCCAAGGAAGATCCCTGTACGTGTTAGATTGTGGCCTCTACCATTAAGTTTTAAGAATCAGATCATAAATTAACCATGATATATAATAAAATTTATAGTATACCAAAAGCAGCATATGTTCAAAACACTTTATCGTTGGGAAGAAAACGGATAAGATGTGCAAGTAGCAAACTCAGTAAATGCTAGATGTAGTTTCACCTTTAATGGAGTCATGTTGCCTTCTGGATTCAAATTTTTATCAACTCTGTCCATGAAAGACAGAGGGTAGACGTGTAAAGGGCCATGCGCATTCCTTAGAGGAGTGTGCCCTGAGCCTGTCTAGGGTACTGCTGAATGTACTTTCTGTAAAAGCATTGTTAAATTGAAGGAACATGCCATGAAATATACTTTTTAAAGTATTCAAGAAAATTGAGGAAACGAGATGATTTTCTTCACAGAAAAGTGACATAAGAACTTGCAAAATATTTCAATTATTAAAAGAAAAAAACCTCAAGTTGTTGATGAGAAGAATAATTTGTGATTAGTTTTACTATAATAATGCTTAGCATCCAGGTACCCTGGCTACTTTGTTGCTGTGGCCAAGAGAGGAGCCAAGACAACTTCTTAGTCTCTACATGTGAGAATAGTCCTTGGAGTTTAACCCACCCACCCTAAAGTTAAACCACAGTATGCTTAGGTCAGTGACTGCTGCCTCACTAATCGGCATGACTTCTCACTTCTAATTACATCATTCAAGAAAATATGTGATAATGATGTGTGGAGCTTAAAACTGTGAGAAACCAAAGACTGGAATATGTAAGAGGTCTTAAGAAGTGAAGAGAGAGGGAGAGCGAGAGAGAGAGAGAGAGAGAGATTCCATACAACCAGCTACAGCAAGAACCTATGCTTTAGCTGATTTACTCAGATTATGTGTTCTCAGTCCCAGCCCCAACAACAGTGTCAGGTGTGACCAAGCATCTGTGTGGGTTGGGAACTGGCCCTGGGATTTAAATAAATGAATGAAAACATGAGCCAGGGCAACCCCAAAGTCTAGCCATGCCGGTGCCCTTGACCCCATGAAGCTGGTGGGAACATAACGCAGAGAACATTCCTTTCTCCATTTCTCGTGACCAGATCCACCAGTTCTCAAGCAGCACCCCCTGGGCTGAGGGGTGGATGTGGTCTTGCTCATCTGCCCAGCTGTAAGTAGTCCTGACTAATGCTGTAGCTAGGTCGCATGGAAAGGGCCATCTGTCCGGACCTTCAAAAGAGGGCACGGAAAGTAAGTTACACAAGAGTGGTGAATGAGGCTTCGCTGACTCTGAGCTTCCATAGTATGTTTACAGGAAGGGTGCACCGTACTGCATGGTCCAGTTTGCTGGATTATAATATGGTGAAGAGATAATACTCTCGGTTTATTTGACTGGACAGAAATGTGTCGCAGCTGTATCTGTATACATTGCTTAGTTTTGTAGATTTATTGAAGAGCCAGGAAATCACATTATAAGGCAGCATGACTGTACCTTGCGGCTTCATTAATTATGGTACCTAGACATAATTAGGTTCTAGCTAAGAATAGTAGATAAAGTGGAAAATCCTTCTGGGAAGGGAAAAAAGAATTGAAAGCTGGAAGCCTGTGAACAGGGAGTGCCCACTGTTTCTTGGGCATAGAATTAGTCAATCTGCCTCCTCAAATTGCCAAGGATGGTGCCTTACAAGGTCAGGACAGCCAGGCACTTAGGAATCTGTTCTCTTAAACTCCTGCTTTATTTTTATTTCAAATTTATAGTGCTCCATCGACAGAAGCAATTGGGAATTTCCCACATGATGCAGAAATAAGTCTTTGGATATGTGGAAGATGATCTGTTCATTTTTAATGCTTTTTTGGTTTTTGAAGTTATAGTATCATTTTCCTCCATCTTTGTTGTTACATATATGTATGTATGGAGAGAGAGGGGAGGAAGAGAAATGGATGGATGGATAGATAGATAGATAGATAGATAGATAGACAGACAGGCAGGCAGATACATACATACATATGGTTTCCCTAAATATATAAAAACAACCTTCTCAGTCAGTATGTTTTACTTGTAAATGATGGTTTTTCGAAGCAGTTTTCAAGTTGGCCAAACTGCAGAGTTCTCACACACATTTTCTCCCCACCTTGGGCCCACGTGCAGCTTCCTTCTCTGGCGTCTTGGGTAAATTTGATGTAATTGCTGAAGCAATGTTGACTCATTTGCACTAAAATCCATTGTTCATCTTCGTGCCCACCCTTGGTTATGTAAAATCCACTGCTTATATTAGCCCTCCCCGCAATGATGTCTGTTCTACAAACTTTGACACACGTACCATCCATCCACTACAGTGTGACCGAGTTGTTTCCCCTCCTAGCTATGTCCTTTATACCTGTCCCCCTCCCTGCTGAACCCTTGGCAGCCGTTCTGCCTTTGCCATTTCTATAGTTTTGTGGTTCACTAATGTTTTATTGAAAATAGATTTTTTTTCATGCAATATATTCCTTAGTTCGCGTATTATTAACTGACAGCCCGGCTATTCCTAAAGAACCATCATTTATACATAAGTTAGACTCTCGGTAAATACAGGGTGCTCGGCGTAGCAAAGAACAGAAGGTAAAGGATTCTGGTCTTTGCAAAACTTACAAATCTCTAGGTAGGAGTGAGATTAGCCCACAAGAATCCAGGAGGAAGGGGAGAGTGGGATCTCTGACTAGTTAGTACTCTGGCCTCAGGTCAGACCCTGCCTTTCCATTTTAAATCTAGGAATTTAACCTGGGGAGCCAAGTTTCCTGGTCATCTCAGACTGTCACTTTGTCTCCCCAAAGACCAGCTGGAGTATAGCGCCATTTCCTGAATCACCCTCTCCTATTGTCAGAGATTAGTGTGAGCATTGCTTTTAGACTTTCATACTAGTTATTCATAGTCCCGCCTGGTGCTGATAGAACATGGTAGAATGTCTACAAAGGCACAAGAGTGGATACCCACGCCATTTAAACACTATCTGAACAAGTCTTTTGAATTTGGGACATGGACACACACACACAACCCAATTTTTTCTATATAAACTCCAGATTCTCTTTGGTCTGACCTTAAGGAGCCTAATTTTTTTCGTGTGTGTGTGTGTGTGTGTGTGTGTGTGTGTGTGTATGTGTGTGTAACACACCATGCAGGAAGGTCAGAGCACAGATTGCAGGAGGTAGTTCTCTTGTTCCGTGTGTCAGCCTTGATAGCAAGTGCTGAGCTATCTCACTGTCTCAGGCTCGGTTCTTGTTTGTGTGCACACGTGTCTGTGCATACAGATGAACGTGTGTGTTCAGGTGTGCTTGTACACGTGGAGACAAGAGGACAGTCCCCTGTTGTTCTTCAGACACTGTCCACCTCATTTTTAAATTGGAATCATTTTTTTCATGCGGTATATTCTGATCCTGGTTTTTCTTCCCCTGTTCTCCTAGATTCTCCTCACAGCCCCATCCATCCAACTCCATGCCTTCTTTCTCTCTCTCTAAGAAAAACAGGCAAAAAAAAATGCACAAGAAACACCACATACACATACACACTTTACTTTTGAGATAGATAGAGTCTCTCACTACCCTGGAACTTGGCAGGGAGGCTAGGCAAGCCTCAGGCATCTACTTGCTTCTGCATTCCCAGTACTAGGATTGCAAGTATGTGCCCAGGTGTAGCTGGCTTTTCTTTCCTTTCTTAATGTGAACTTAGGGGTTTGAGCTCACATCTTCATGCTTGCAGGGCAAACACATTACCAAGCGAGCTATCATCCCAGCCCAGGAAACCCAACCCTTGTTCCCTCCTCTAAAGGGTAAGGCTTTTAATGTGTGAGGATGGACCAGGGAGGGGAGAGCAGACCGAAAGATCCATTCCATCCTCACCAGCTCTGCTTCACTGGGTTATTTCTGTTTCATATAAGATCCATGCCAAATAAATAAATAAATAAATAAATAAATAAATAAATAAATAAAATAAAAAATAGGTAAATTCGGGCCACTGAGATGGCTCAGCGGGTAAGAGCACTTGCTGGCAAACGTCATGATCTGAGTTCGGTCTTCAGAACCCACGCTTTGGAAAGAGAACCAATTCCCACAAGTTATCCTCTGACCTCTCCGACCTCTCCACACTCCTAGTGGCACCTACACGTACACACAAAAATAACTTTCTGAAAAAGTTAAAGGCAAAGAAATTTTAAATTAGCTAAGTAGGCACCTCACTAGCCCTCCATGGCTTGCTGGTAAGAACCTGTGGTGTGCATCTTGTCCCGTTATAACACACATCCAAAAGCATCATGCTGAGGCCTGAGGTCGGCCAGAGCAAGAGTATCCATACATGGAAATCAGCAAGTGCCGATGGCAGCACTTCTGCTCATTTCTTCCCTGGTCAAATTCCTTAGTCAAATTCTTACTTAATTCTGCCAGTGGAGTTTGGTCAACAAGCACTAGGCTAATTCGTGTGGTCAAATCCTACTTTCCATAATTGGTTGTTTTTGGAAGTTGGGAGAGTGTAATGCAAAATCAGCAGAGGAGTTGGTCCGATGAGCTCTGACAGCCAAACACAGTGTCCAACCATAGAGACCTTACTCACAATTGCCTTTTCCCTAGAGGAAGGACTGCAGCCATCCACAGGCGGGTTCATCTATGCTGTGGCTGTTGCTGAGGTCTCAGAGCATTGTGATGCTAAACATTGCTATTCCAGGTGACGGGCCATGATCATAATGAACATGTCTCTCCCTAGACCGTGATTTGCTGTCCACGAGTCATTAATACAGCGATTTCCCTACTCACTAGCCTTTGTATGCCCCTGTAGGACTGCACATGCCAGGGCGAAAGCTGACGCTGCTGACCAGGCTGCCCTGGCTGCCCGCCAGGAGTGCGACATTGCGAGAGCCGTGGCCAGAGAGCTGTCGCCTGATTTCTACCAGCCAGGTAAATCGTGTTTCCTTCCTTTGCTGGGAAGGGTGGGGCATGAGCTTTCCCTTTCCTTTCCTTTCCTTTATGTATGTATGTATTTATTTATATCACTGAGAACTTCATGCATGAGCGAGACCTCTACTTCACTCCTACCCTTCCCCCAACTCCTCCCATTTCTCCTCCCAAATTCACCACCTCTTCAATCGTTATTATTGTACATGTATAAATGCGTGTTACATAGATGTACAATGCATATTTATAACCTTCTGGGTTTGTTTGGCTTTGCTTGTTTATCCAGGGCTTAATCACTTGGGATTGGACAAGTTGGATGGGAGCTCATCCATGGAGGAAACTGGTTCTCCCCAATCTCAGCAGCCATTGACCTCCAATCACTTGTCATCTAGGTGTGGGGCTACGTGGAGTGGTCCCTGTCCCTGTTGGCATGTCAACTTCCGTTGTTACCGTGATGGTCTCGTTTATTATAGTTCAGGGGTGCATTCCCCTTGTGTATATAGGTGTTACGTGTCTAGGAACCACTCTCTAGCAGTGGACATCCTGGGCGTCCAGCTCTTACAACCTTGCCATATTCTCTTTTGAGATTTTTTTTTCATCAGTTGTGTTTGGGCATTCCCAGTGACTTAATCTCTACGCTAGTGGGAGGCTAGTCCACCTTCTCCTATCCTGTCATCAACTTTGATGAGGGGTAGACACTACACTTAGCCAGGAAAGGGTGACCCGTGCTCCAGAAGTTCAGTTGTTTTCTTGATCTTAGCCATTCTGACTGGGAAAGATGAAATCTCAGTTTTAATTTGTATCCTTCTGTTTGCTAAGGATGGCGAACATGTGTTGAGATTCTTTAGCCATTTTTATTTCTTCTCTGGGAGAACTCTGTTCAGATCTGTAGCCTATGTTTTAACTGCTGTTAAAATAAACTGTTGTTTATTTTCTAGATTCATTGAGAGTTTTTTTTAATATATATTCTGGATATTCTATCAACTATGCCTTCTATCAGATAGGTAGTTGACAAAAATTCTCCCGCACTCTATGAACTTCTTTACTTGGGTGTTTCCTTTGTGGTACAAAAGCTTTTTAGTTTCACAGGGTCCCGTTTTTCAATTGTTGGCCTTAAAGTCTGAGCAAATAAAATCCTATTCAGAAAATTCCTACCCTGTGTCTTGTAGGCACTGCCTGTGATTTCTTCTAACAGTTCAGTGTTTCAGGTTTCATACTGAGGCCTTTGATCTATTTGGAGTTGATTTTTCTGAAAGTTAATAATAGACGGGCCTAATGCATTCTTGGACATGTGGACCCCAATTTCCCTACCATAATTTTTGAAGATATTTGGGGGTTATTTTTAGTTTTCTGTTGTTTTGTTTGTTTGTTTGTTGTTGTGAAATATCAAATGACTATCGTTGCATTCTCATTTGGGTCTTCTGTTTTATTCCATTGGCCAGTGTGTCTGATTTGGTGGCATTGCCTTTCTGCTTTTATTACCATGGTTCTATAAAATATCTTAAAATTTAGAATAATTCTAGCATTATTCTTTTTGTTCTGGATTGCTCTGGATATCTGGGGTCTTTTGTTCTGTATAAATTTTAGGATAATAGTTTTTTTATTTCTCTGAAGAATGTTGTAGGGATTTTGTTTGGGAATCCATTGAATCTATAAATTGCTCTTGATAGAAAGAGTTTTTCACAATATTAATTGTACCAATCTATGAGCATGACAAATCTTTCCATTTTCTAGTATCTTTATTTGAGAGCTTTAATGCAGAGGTCTTTACCAACTTGATTAGGTTTATTCTTACTTTTTTATCGCAAGTAAGAGTGTCTCCAAAATCATGTCCTTTAACATGTTCATTGTTAGTATATAATTTTTAAGTTAATTTTATATCCTGCCACTTTGCTGAAATTTTTGATCATTTCTAGACATTTTCTGGTGGGATTTTTGGAATATTTATATATAAAATATAATCTATAAGTAGAATTAATTTGACTTCTTTTCCTATTTGTATCCCTTTAACTTGCTTCTCTTACCTCCTTGCTTCTGTTAGTGTTTCAGGCACTGAAAAGGAATGGGAAAGATGGACAACTCTGTCTTATTCCTGATTTTAATGGGATTGCTTCAAATTTTTCTCCATGTAAGATGTCATTGGGTGTGGGTTTGTCATAGATAACCTTAATTACTTAATTAAGTTGAGGTATGGTCTCCCTCCCTCTCTCTCTCTCTCTCTCTCTCTCTCTCTCTCTCTCTCTCTTTCTCTTTCTCTCTCTTTTTTTCTTTTTTTTGCATCTATTGGGATAATTATATGCAGGGTTTCTTTGTCTTGTTTTTGTCTTTATTGACTTAATATGCTGAAACAGCTCTGGGATAAAGCCCAGTTATGATATGTATTTTTATGTATGTCTGTATTCTGTTCCCAAGTATCTTATTGACTAATTTTGAGTCTGTTCATCATGGATATTGACCTATAATTTTCTTGTTGTTGTATGTTTACTTGGTTTGGGCATTGGAATGGCACTGTTTTTGTAGAAGGAATTTGGGAGTGTTCTTTCTGTTTTCTAGTTGGTTGACTCTTCTTTGAAAGTCTGGTAGAATCTACAGTGACTCCATCTGGGCCTAGGTCTTTGTTTGTTTGTTTGTTTGTTTTGTTTTAGTCGGAAGACTTCATCACTGTTTTGAGCTCCAGGTTTGTGATGAGTTTGTTTACATTAATGCTCTCTTTTTGGTTTAACTTTGGTAGTTCCGATGTGTCTAGAAATCTGTTTCTTTTAGGTTTGCTAACTTAATAGACTATAGACCCATAATGTATCCTCTTATTATAGTCTCCGCTTCTTTAGTGCCTGATGGGGAATTTGGTAGGTTTTTTGTTTTGTTTTGTTTTGTTTTGTTTTTTTGGCTAATTAGACCAAAGATCTATTGATCTTGTTCTATCTTTTCAAAGGACCAGCTCTTGGACTTGATTTTTTTGCATTGTTTTTTCCATTGATTCTATTTTATTCCTGCTCTGGTTTTTATTATTTTTTTTCCTCTGTCTACTGGATTTGGGTTTTGTTTTTTTTTTCTTTTTTCCCAAATTCTTGAGTTGCATCAAAAGTTATTTACTTCTTTTTTTTCTTAGATTGGTGGAGGAAATGGGGGTGAGGCAGGGTCTCCCTACATAGCCCCAACTGACCTGAATCTTTTAAAAAAAAATTAAAACAATCTTTTTTATTTTACATACCAATCCCAGTTCCCTCTTTCCCCTCCTTCCACTCCCCCTCCCCCACCTTCCCTCACTACACCCCTATCCACTCCTCAGAGAGTGAGGCCTCCCATGAGGCATCAACAAAGTCTGTCACATCACTTGAGGAAGGACTAAGGCCCTTCTCCCTGTATGTAGACTGAGCAAGACATCCCTCTAAAGGGAATTGGCTCCAAAAAGCCAGTTCAAGCAGTAGGGATAAATGCTGGTCCCACTGCTCATAAACTGCCCAAGCCACACAACTGTCTACCACGTTCTGAGGTCCTAGTTCAATCCTATGCAGGTTCCCCAGCTGTCAGTCTGGAGTCAATGAGCTCTCACTAGCTCAAGTCAGCTGTTTCTGTGGGTTTATCATGGTCTTGACCCCTTTGCTCATATTATCACTCCTCCCTCTCTTGCTGGACTCCAGGAGCTCAGCCCAGTGCTTAGCTGTGGGTCTCTGCATCTGCTTTCATCATGGACTGGATGAAGGTTCTATGGTGACAGTTAAGGTAGTTGTCAATCTGATTCCAGGGGAAGGCCAGTTCAGGCACCCGCTTCACTATCGCTCACGGTCTTAGCTGGGGTTATCCCTGTGGATTCCTGGAAATTTCCCTCATGTGACCTGGAACTTTCTGACCAGGCTGACCTCAGAGAGATCTACCTGTCTCCTGAATGCCTAGACTAACGGCATGTGCCACCACTCCCAGCTTAGGTATGTTCTGATATTTAAATGTGGGCACTTAGAAGTATAAATTTTCCTTGTAGAATTGCGTTTAATGTATCCTGGAGGATTTTGTGTGTGTGTGTGTGTGTGTGTGTGTGTGTGTGTGTGCGTGCTGTGGTTTCATTTTCATCCATAAATCTGTGTACAAATTCCTTTGCTAAGATTAAAAGGATACATGGAATTTTTCTGAATTTTTTAAAGATTTATGTCCCAGGCTGTGTAATACATTTTGGAAAAGTTTCTGTGGGCTGCTGAGTAGACTGTATATTCCTTGATGTTTGGCAGAATATTCTGTGTGTATATATATATATATATATATATATATATATATATATATATATATAGCATCATTCAGTTCTGATGTTTCTCTGTTTATTTAGGTAACCTGTCTGTTGCTAACTGACTTAGCGTTAGTCTGGGTCTTTAACTCCAGTAGCATGCTTTTTATGAAGCTGAATGCATTAATGTAAATGGAGACTGCACTTTCATTTCCCGGTCTCTCAGACCCTTATAATCACACAAAAGCTATATTAATTACAACAGTTTGACCAATGGCTCAGGCATATTCCTAGCTAGCTCTTACATCTTAAATTAACCCATCTCAATTATTTTATATTTCATCATGAGGCTCATGGTTTGTTTTCTCACATCTTGCTTCTTGGGTGGCTGCATGGCATCTGCCTGACTCCACCTTCTATCTCCCTGCATTTGTTCAATTTTCCTGCTAGCTGTATTCTGTTCTGCCATAAGCCAAAACTGCTTCTTTATTAACCAATGGTAATAAAACGCATTCATAGCAAAGAGATGGGAATCCCACCTCTCGTATGTGTTTAGGATTGTAATGTCTTCTTGGCTAATTGTTCCCTTGATTAGAATGTACTGTCCTTCTTTATCTCTTCCTGGTAGTTTAGTTTGAAGCCATTTGTCAGATATAAGGATGGTGACGCCTGCTTACTTCCTGATACCATTTGCTTGGGGTGCTTCGTTCTGTGTTTTCACTGTAAGGTGGTGCCTACCTTCACAGCTAAGATGAGTTTCTTGTAGGCAGCAGAAAGATGGATTTGG